CGCGTTTAGGGGTGTGTAGTCCGCCCTTTTTGCTGCCGGAGCTCGAAAAGGCTGTCCTGGCCTTGCCCCCCGAGCTTGGTCCTTCTTCTTCTTACTATCGCCCTGGGTTAAGGGCTCTATCTCCCTTTTTCTTTTCTCAAGGGCCTGTTCACCTTTCTGGTTGATCTCCTCCTCCGTCCCTATAAACTGATCCACGAGCTTGAGGAACTCGGTCACAGTCTTGGGCTGATTAACAACCACATGCCACTTGAATTCTTTATGGGTGATGCCTCGCTTGGCCGCAGTGAGCCGAACTACGGGGTCCAGGTCGGGTATTTGCAAACAAGCATCGTTGAATTGCTTGATATAGCTTCGGATGGACTTCCCTTCCTTCTGGACTATGCCAAGGAGGCTCTCTTGAGTTCTTGGGCATCTCTTGCTGGTGACAAAGTGGGAAGCAAAGACTTGCACGAACTGTGCCCAACTCCTTATCGATCCGGGTGCAAGGTTTCGGTACCATGTACGGGCTACCCCTTTGAAGATGGTGGAGAAAGCCACACACATACAGGATTCACTAGCCCTTGTCAGGTGCATCTAGGACTGGAAGGCGTCCACATGGTCGTTCGGGTCAAAGGATCCGTCATACTTATCCAGTAGGGGAAGCTTGAAATACTTTGGCATAGGAACAACAAGAAGTTCTGGCGACAGAGGAGAAGGAACTGAAAGAAGTGGGGTAACTTTTACTACACCCGAGCTTACCTCTTCCTTACCCCGGAGCTTGGGCAGATCGTGAGTGGGAGCTCGACGAGCTCGGCGGCGCCTCCGCTGCTTCCTTGCTGGCTCGGTGTTGGTGTTGTTGGCTTCGGTATTATCAAGCTCGATGGGACCAAGGAGGGGCTCGGACTGCTATTGGTAGCTGCGAACTGAGGGGCCTTGCCTCAAGTCTACAGCCAGCACCTCGAACTGGTTTTCCGCAAGTGGGAGCTCGAACTGCGAATGCTGAGGCGACGCGGGCCTAACTAGCTAGGAGGCCCCCGACCTGACTGTAGGATGCGAGGCAGGGGTTACTGGTCTCTCTTTTCCGCCATGAGACGATGCCGAGGTCTCTCCTCGACGAAAAGGAAGTTCGTTCCAGCAGTGGGGCTTAGCTTGCTGCGTGGCCAGATGCCGAGGAGGGAGTGGCTGCTGGGCCTGAGGCAGTGGGGGAAACTACTATTGATACTGATACTGGGAAACTTGGTGCAACACTTGCTACTGATAAAGTTGAAGCTGTTGGAACTGTAGCATTTGAGCTTGCATAGCTCGCATGCACTGCATCAGGTCCTCAAGCTGGCTTTGGCTGGCCACCAGAGGGATAATGGAGGGTTCTGGGAAGGTTGCTCCAATTGTAGGGGGAAGTGGAACGTTAACGGGTGCCATTGTTTGAGGCACATTCAAACTGGGAACTCTGTCCGCAGAGAGGGGGATGGTGAACTGTCCGATGCAGACAATGGGAAGTTGGGGTTGTTCCTCAGAGGTGTTTCGGTTTGCACATCGTCCGGCATTGCTGGAAGAAGCCATGAATGCTGAATTTTTGAGAGAGAGTTGTGGAAATTAGAGGAAGGCTTTTTGAAGCGTTTCCCACAGACGACGCCAAATGATATTGCGCGATCCGGGAACTCCTAGCTGGCGGAAACCTGGCTCCTAACTGGTGACGAACGGTACTTGAGGCGAAGAGGAAGGTGAAGAATTCCTGGGGAGCTCGCCTGGCAGGAGCACTCCGATGCTTAAGTTAGAACTTTGAGAAAACTGAACAATACAAACAAAGAGCTGAGAGTGCAAATGGCGCAAGTTCAATACCTCTTCTCTTCGAGGGTCGGGGTCTTTTTATATTGAAGATCTCCCAAATCAGGCGTAACCGCCTCTGCCATAGCTGTTATTTCCAGAGCCGAGGTGGCGGATGTGGGCAGCCGTTGCAGGGTACGGACCTGTCAGGCGTGCCACATCTGGTAGAAGTGGCAGGCACGACGCCGCCTGACAAGAACCATGGGCGCAACCTCTAGATTCGCATGTACTATTGTAAGGCAAATCTTTTTTGCAGATTGCCGAGCTACTTTGCACCAAGCTGCCTTGGTCCGAGCTACCCTACACTAGGGTGTTGGGGTAGCCAAGGTGCTTATGCTTGAGGCAAGCCTTAGGCAAGTATGGGCAGGAGTGTTAATGGGGCTATCCCGAAGTGTCCCCACTTCGGGATACTTCTCGTAGATCGGGGTGTTCCCTTCTCAGGAAGGAAGAGTTCGGGGCCCACTGGGAGGAGCTCGGGAGTCCTCCTCCCTTAGGGAGATTTCGGAGTATGCTAGATGTTTCTTCTCGGCGAGCTGCTACGTCCGCCGAGTTGTATTGCTGGGCTCCAACGAGTTCTGTATACCGAATTATGGCCAGGCTGCCACGCTGAGCTGTCACTTATGCCAGGTTGTACTCACATGTCTCCGTGCTACGAGGCCAGGCCAAATCACCCTCCATCACCTTCTATTGAGGGTAGAGTGACTAAATACATGTTTTAGTACCTTAGGGAGCGACTATCTAAAAAACTTGCAGGTTGGAAAAAAGTTCTCTCTTTACTCGAGAAGTTAACTCTTGTTAGCTCCACTACTTCGATGATGCCCCAATTTGTGATGAGGTTATTCAAAATCCCCAAATATGTAATTGATTTGTTTGATAACATTTAGAGGGGCTTCATTTGGTCAAAGTCAAATTACAAGAAGCCTAACTGGAATAGAGTGTATACAACCAAAAAATTAGGGTGGCCTTGGTGTTAGAAACCTTAGATTGTTCAATAAGACTTGCTCAACAAAATTAGGGTGGAAATTTCTTACTAAAAAGATAACCTATGGGTAAGAGTCGTTTCTAATAAGTAGTTAAATAAGGAGAATTTTTGGGAGGTCAAAGAAAAATCGGTATTTCATGGGATTGGAGAAGGATTATTAGACTATTGGTTGATGTTGTGGATCAAGAAAGAAACATTTGGAAGGAAAGTCTTATTAGATCCATGGTTCCAAACCATTCTTGGTACATAATCAAAACTATTTTAATTCCTTTAAATTGTGGAGAGGATAATTTGGTTTGGAATTTGACTTCAGATGGTAAGTTTCTTTATTAAGACAGCTTACAATATGGAAAGTCATATTAGTTCAACAAATTATTCAAATATTAGAGTTCTGAATAGTGCTTGGAGAATTCGGGTTCCTCCAACATTGATGGTACTTGTAGTATTTGTGGTGAGATGGAGGACATTGACCATATATTTAAGAACTATTCATATGAAAAGTATATTTGGATGGCAGTTGAGCCTAATGTCTTTGGCCCTAGGGGTGATGATGCCACTATGGTAAATTAATCGAGCCGTATCTCAAATCCTTTCTCCATCATTGGGGAGCCTTTACAAGGAAAAGAGTGTTATAATCTTATGGTTCCTTTAAAAAAATAGAAACAAGAATATTTTTAACAATAAATCCATTCCTCCTATCCTCCTAGATAGAGCAATGAATTAATTTATTGAGATAGAGAATTGCCATGACAGAGGGAGAATCAAATATGCCTAAAAGATGGAATCTGACGGAAGAACACGATCAAGAGGAGTGTTTCACACAGACAATGAAGTAGACTCCATCAAGGAAAGGGAAACCCTCCGAAGACTTCGGTAAATAATCTCATCCCAATAATCTCGAAAGTCCAATCTGACTAGCATCCTTCCATTCACTCAACGCCCTTTCTTAGCTATAAATAAGCATTTCCCACTTGAGGTAAAAGGACTTTTGGCTTTCCACTCACTCAACACCCTTTCTTATTACTTCCTCGGTTCAGACCAACACCCTTTCATTCTGTTCATCCCAACTGACCCCGTTCTCTTACTGACTTGAGCATCGGAGTGCCTATTCGGAGAATAACTCATTGGGCTCTAACCCCTTCGTCTAGTTGGCAGGACCATCTAACTGTGGCATGGATCAAATCAAGGGTTCATTAAAATAATTTTTTATGCTTCCCACAATATTGATGGTTGGTGTGCTATCGCTTATATTTCTAGGAACTATTTAGGAACCCGACCTTAAAGTGTACTACATACTATCAATGTTGTTAGAGCTTGAGCCGCTTGTGAAACCCATAATATTGCCCTTAACTTCAGAGACTCTTCAATCATTACTAAAGAGGATTCTAAGCTTGCCATCAATTGCTTAAGATCTATCACTAAGCCATGGAGCTTAACGAGCATCATCAAAGATTGTAGACATGTAAGCTCACATCTAGATTATGGATCATTTACTATCATGCTTTCAGGCAAGCAAATCGGTCCGATCGTCTGGTCCGGTCTGATTTTAAAAACCATGGTTGTTCACAAGGGTTTCATTTCACAATTGGGTTCCAATTCAAGTGTTTCATTTTACTTGTCTTTTTTTTAAACACAAAAAAATAAAGAAAAAATCGAGATACAAGCTGATTAAGCATTTAAAGTGAATTGACTTCTTATTAAAATATTTTTATAATGACAACTTAAGACATCTTAGAAAAGAAATTAGCTTTTTCAAATTTCAATGTGCCATTTTACCTTAGTGATTCAAGACCTTCAAAGCAATTCAAGAATCCTCAGTTTAACCATTCAAAAAACCTCTCCTTTTTCAAATCCCAAAGTTAATCATTATAAAACTAATTTTTTTGAAAAGTAGCCTACTAAAATGTAATTTTCTTATCATTCCATTTATTTAGTGATGCGATGAAAACAAAACACTTGTGAAATGCTCTGGTGCCAAACACCATACGCTGTGATCATAAATCCGATTTCAATTGTTTCTTGCCCATTCAAATAATGAAGTAAGGTTTTTGAACCGTTGTTGACATGGACGGTCAGACAGTTTGGCCTAGGAACCGTCTACGCAACCAATTCCATTTTCCTCCAAATCCGGTTTTAATAAAAAACTACTGAAAAAATCAACAATCCGTTCAATGGTTTTTGATCATTTTCTATTTTTTATTATTTTTTTAATTTATTTGTCAGAACGGGCAGTCTGTTCAAATGAGACGGTCAGACCATCAACCCAAAAACCGGTGATCAAAACAGTTCTATTTCTGGGTCGTTTTTTAGAGTCGTTCTGTGGACGAGTGCACCTTCCAATGAGAGACAAACACGTCATTTCATCTGTATTAACCACGAATTAAGGGAGACTTTCTCCGTTACCAGTCGTTCGGCTGGTTGAACCGACCACAAAACACGGTTTAGCTTTCTCTTTCATCGGCAATAAACACCAACCGGCGCCGGTGGCAACCAACTGGGGATTCAGCCGGGCACGACGATGATGTGTTAAGAGACATGGTTATAAGCTTCATAATGGCGGGGAGAGACACAACATCGGCGGCAATGACGTGGCTCTTCTGGTCGCTTTCCCGACATCCCAATAGTGAGAAAGATGTGGTGAAGGAAGTAGTCACGACACTTGGCAACAACGGGCAGAAATCGTTGGATTACGAAGCTCTGAAAGACTTGCCTTTGTTTAAAGCTTGCCTCTCCGATGGCCTGGTACTCGAAGCACTCCCCCACCCGCGCAATGCTCCCAAAAGAAAAAGGCAAAACTGCAGAAAAAGGCAAAAAGCAGGGAGCGAGTGAAAACGAAGGTCATCATCAACATAAGCAGATGCCACTGTTCATCTCACTAAGCCGATCCAGAGAGAGAGAGAGACAGCGATGGCGGTCTCCGTCTCATTTTTGGCCATCGTCACGTCCCTCCATCTTGTCACCTTCGTCCTCGCTGTAGACGCCGAACGTTGTCAGAGCACAGTAACAACCTACTATCTTCTCTTATTTCCTGATTTTTTACAGAACGTACAGAACTAATTAACCCCCCTTTCTCTCTGTCTGAAGGGTAAGGTGCAACCGGATGAGTACGATGAGCGCACGTTCTCCGTATACGATTCGGATGTGTCGACGGTGTACGGACTGACGGCGTTTGGTCTTTTGTTGATTAGTCAATTTTTTGTTAGCTGCATTACGAAATGCTCTGCTTTGGGAGAGGGCTCATGAGCGGGAGGAGCTCCACCGCCTGTGCCATATTCTTCTTTGTATTTTCCTGGTGAGTCTCCCAGTCAATCCCATTTTGCATTGCAGACTCCCCCATGGCTCACTCTTCTTCACTGGTAACAGGGTGAAGGCCAAATCGGACTCATTCTTCTTCACTGAGTTTGCAAGGAAGAAGGAGGAGGAGGAGCAGCATCTGTACAGTGAAATTTCAATGATGTAATTTCATGTCCAGAGATCTAATTTCTTGCCATAGACGCCGACTGTACCGTGGAATGGCCTAACGGGTAGGGTTCAAATCATCCAGCCAACACAAGAAGAAGAGGAGGGAGAGGAAGAGGAAGAAGAAGACGTACGGACTAGAGGCCGGATGATTTATCCCTGCCGCCGGTGGCTTCGTCGTTCACTGGGGCACCGGTGAGCTTGTCACTGTTGGACGTGTGGGAGTTCGAACTTGTGTGAAGAGAAAATGAAAGATTTTGTCTTTTTGCGTGTGATTGAATCGGATGAAATCAATTGACGGTCAAACCTTCGTTACCCTTACACAGCTTACGTTCGTTCGACACGTGGCCAAATATGATTGGAAGGTGCACTCGTCCACTGCACCCATGGGTGCACAGAACCGGTCTCCATCTGCATCAAATGTCCTAGGGATGATGGGAGAGTGTTCTTCTCCTCTATTGTGAGTTGTGACTTGTGAAGGTGGGGAGGACTCCCACTCCCAGGATTTAAAATTTTAAATGAGTGTTTGAAGAGAAATCAATTTCCACAGACATTTAAGGTTTCCAATCTTTTTACTTCCACTCGTGTATTTCCTCCGTTCCATATTTTTTGTGATCCGTGACGGAAGGTGTTAATAACGGTAGTATATATGGATGTTATGCGATATTTGAATGTAAACTAATAATGTATGTATGCCACGTGTTATTTGTATATAATTAATGACATGCTTATGCTACGTAACAGCATATATGAACTTCAAAACATTTAAAGATATTTAATAACAGCTGACACGTATATGACATATGGTGGCATATGAATATGCCACGTTGTCACGAGACTACGTGTTGGGGCCGTGCGACACTCGCTAGTCGAAGAGTAAGCCTATGAAGTCAATAAGAAAGCAAAAAGCAACAATAAATGTATATAAATTAGACAAAAGACTCTTTGTATTGCATAAATTGGTGGCAAGCACAAGTATACAGTTTAGTGTCGAGGGGATCTCGTGCTTAACCTTTATATGCTATTGATTCACTCGACTACATACCTCCTTTCAAAGAGTACGTTAAACTTTTGGGGAAGTGATAGAAGGATACATCAAAATATTGAATATTCGTACTACTATTTACATAATTGCCATTGGCATACCCCCCTTTACAAAAAGAATACAATGACCCAACCCAAGACACATGAAGACACTTAGATGGTGTGTTGATGGCAATGATGGTGGTTGATCCATCACAGTCTTCCCAACTCAATTCAATCTTCGTCCTCGAAGATTCTTCCTCAGGTACTCGTCCAGCTTCACTACGAACAGAAGGAGGTCTTCAGCGAGTTCCCAGGTGACTTCTTCTACAAGTCCCTTCCACTTCACCAGGTACTCCATTCTGATGTTTGGGAGGATTGGGACAACCTATGGTTGAGAATGGAGTCAAGGGATCGGTTCTTGGGTGGTCGGTAAGTTGGATGTGCGTGTTGGCTTTGGTTTCGGGAGGTATCTTGGTTGTCAGCATGATAGGGTTTAAGTTGGCTTACATGGAAGACGATGGACTTTTAGCCAAGGGGGTAGTTTGAGTTTATAGGCTGATGCACCTACTTTGGTTGGGATTTCACAGGGTCCCTCATATGTTCTCACAAGCCCGGGATGTACTCTTCGAAAAAACCTAAGGCAATGGGTATGAAGTTTTACTAAGGTCAGGTCACCTACTTGGAAGTTCTCGGGTCGTCTACCCAAATCGGCCCATTTGTTCATTCTTTTGGAGGCTTTCTCTAGTGAGGCACTGGTAAGGTCAAGGCATTCTTTCCATTCCCTGGTGAAAGTGAAGGCTCGAGGGCTTCTTCCTTGATGGTCGTTGACGATGCTGTGCGAACATCTTGGTAGTTGGTCGGTGACGACTTCAAAAGGACTCTAATTGGTGGAGGAGCTCTTCTGCGTGTTGATGGAGAACTGTGCAATGTCCAGCAATCGAACACAATTCTTCTGTGTAGCTGATACAAAATGGCGGAGGTACTCTTCAAGGAGGGAGTTCATTCACTCTGTCTGCCCATCTGACTCTAGATGGCTACTACTGGAGAAGTTCAAGTTTGAACCAAGTAGCTTGAATAGCTCTATCCAGAAAGCACTAGTAAATCGAGGATCCCGATCACTAATAATGTTTTGTGGGACTCCCCAATATTTCACAACGTGCTTGAAGAAAAGATATGCTGTGTCTTCAGCTGAGAGGTGCTTTGGTGCTGGGATGAAAGTGGCATATTTGGAAAATCGATCAACAACAACAACAATGGATGTATATTCTCCCACCTTAGGAAGGCCATTGATGAAGTCCATGGAAACACTCTCCCAAGGTTGTGATGGGGTTGGAAGAGGTTGTAAGAGTCCAAGTGGCTTGGCACGCTCAGGCTTGTCTTGCTGGCAAATCAGGCATGTCCTTGTATATTCCCGAACATCTTCCTCCATATGAGGCCAATAGTAGGCATGTTGTAGAAGGGACAAGGTACGGTGCCACCCAGGGTGTCTTGCCCATAAGCTGTCATGACATTCATGTAGGAGAGTCTTCCTCAAGTCTTCAATTCTCGGTACAAACATCTGCCTTCCCTTTGTCAAAAGAAGGCCTTCATCAACCCAAAGTCGCCTAGTTTTTCCTTCACGAAACGTTGTCAATAAACTTTGAGCAATGGGGTCCTTCTGGAGTCCTTCCTTGATGCGCTCAATGAGGTCTAGTCTGATTTGGCTTCTAGAGGGACCTTCACCTGCAAATAAGGCTATAAGCTCGGCCTTCCTGCTAAGTGCATCAGCAACCCTGTTCATTGGCCCTGGCTTGTACTCTAGAGTCATGTCAAACTTCGCTAAGAAATCTTGCCATCGAGCCTGCTTAGGGCTTAACTTCTTCTGTGACTGAAAGTAACTAGTAGCTATGTTGTCCATCTTGACCACAAACTTGGAGCCAAGCAGGTAGTGTCGCCATGTGTGGAGGTAGTGGACAATGGTGGTCATCTCCTTCTCTTGCACAGTGTACCTCCTCTCAGTGTCATTCAGTTTGCGGCTCTCATAGGCGATGGGATGCCCTTCTTGCATCAAGACCCCACTGATGGCAAAGTCAGAAGCATCTGTGTGTAGCTCATATAGCTTGCTAGGGTTTGGTAAGCCGAGGACAGGTTCTACCGAGACAGCTTTCTTCAAATCATCAAAAGTTGTTTGGAAAACTTCATTCCAGGTCCAACTGCTAGTCTTCTTCAATAAGTTGATGAGGGAAGTGGCACGTGCCGAGAATCCAGAGATGAATCTTCGATAGTATTCACGAGGCCAAAAAAGGCCACCTCTTCTTCAATAAGTTAGTGAGGGAGGTGCCCAATCTTGAATGGCCTTGACTTTAGTTGGATCCATTCTGACCGTGCCTACTCGAATCACATGGCCTAGGAAGGCCACCTCTTCTATGGTGAAAGAGCATTTCTCCTTCTTAACAAATAGGTTGTTGTCTCGCAAAACCTGGAAAACAGTACGGAAGTGGTCAACATGTTCCTCCAAGGTTCTACTATAAATTGCAATATCATCAATATACACCACAACAAATTGGTCAAGGTAGGGACAAAATATCCTATTCATCAATGTACAAAAGGTGGCCGGAGCATTAGTGAGCCCAAAGGGCATGACAAGAAACTCAAAGGATCCATATCGGGTAAAACAAACTGTTTTGTGTTCATCACCTTTGGCTATACGCACTTGATAGTACCCTGACCTCAGGTCTAGCTTGGTGAAGTACTTGGCCTGGTTGAGCTTGTCAAAAGGTCAACCACCAAAGGTATGGGGTACTTGTTCTTGATGGTGAGCTTGTTGAGAGCTCGGTAGTCAATACAGAGCCGAAGAGATCCATCATGTTTCTTCTGAAATAGGACCGGTGCTCCAAAAGGGGCCTTAGAAGACTGAATCAACCCAGCATCCAACAACTCACTCAACTACTTCCGGAGCTCAGCCAGTTCAGGAGGAGACATTCTGTATGGCAGGCGTGCTGGTGGTTTGGTTCTAGGTTCCAACTCAATCTTGTGATCAACTTCTCTCCTTGGGGGAAGCTTCTTCGGTAATGTGGGAGGCATTACATCCCTGAATACTTCTAGCACTGTTGTAACTACAGGCAGGATATGCTCAGTTGGTTGACTAGGCAGATCGGAGTCCACCAATGTGGCTAGGTAAGTGGTTTCTCCTTTCTGCATTCCATCATTGAGTTGCAATGCTAAGAGCATCTTGGGGGTGGACTTGGTCCCTGGCACAACTGGAACCATGCAAGGAGCCTGATCTTCGAATATGCACATTGAATTGAGGAAGGGCATGGGCACCGCCTTTACTTGATTTAAGAATTCCATGCCAAGAACAACCTGAAAATCATCCATGGGTATGAGATGTCTATCGTCCCTTCCCAGTCACCAAGTTGCAGGACCACCCCGCGAGCTACACCTTGTATGGGCTTGGCATTAGAGTTCATAGCCTTCAACCATCCCACTTCCTTGGTAGGTGCAAATTCTACTCTGGATGATTCCTCCATAGAGATAAAGTTGTGTGTGGCACCTGTATCCACTATGGCTCTTGTGGGTTTACCATTCAAGCGGATATCTACATACATCAGTCCCTTCGGCTTGAACTTTGGTGCATCTTGCGGGCTCGTTTTCTTCTTCATTGCATTGAGTCTTCATAGATCCCCCATTCTTGTCTCCTCTGGTTCGTTCTACCCCTCGTTGTGCTCATCATCACTGAGTTTTGCAAGCAAGGCATTGAGTGAAAGGGATGGTAGAATCCATCGTATGGACGCCAAAAAGGTTGCGGAATGGGTGGCCGAATTTCAAAAATTATCTACCTACCTTCCAACTGGGAATCRCATTCCCTGTTTTAGAATCAAGATTCAAGGATCCTACTTGAACCATAGCCGAACCATATCTGAACCAAAAGAGAAGGGAGTAATTATACCTGATCCAGAGAAATAATATCTCCCAAAGTTGGTGTTCACGCCCAAAGAAGGCACCAAGATCTACTCCTGCTGAAGATGACACAACAACTGTGGAACAGAACTAGCAGATTGCATCCTATACACTGAATCCTTCACAAGAATCCTCTGGATGACAATGAGCACCAAAACAGATTCAGCCATTCAACAAAGACTGATATCAAGAACTTTTCTTGATCTTTCTTTGACAGAGAAAATGAACTGCAATAGATAGTGGCGGCTGCAATAGGAGGGAGCTAGAGAAGAAGATGGCGAACTGCTTTTTCTTCTCTAGGGTTTCTGAGATCCTATCTCACAAAACTACAGGGTGTGTTCTGTGTAAATCCCCTAGGGTTCGAATTCTTGTAATTCGAATAGGGTTTTCTCTAGTTGCTTAATGATTAAGAAAAAATCTCCTGATAATATCAGGAGTTGCCCTTATCCAAATCTGTATTTGGATTAGGACTCTTCTTAATCCTATCTACAGATTAGATAAGCTATTGGGCTCATCCTAATCTCAGATCCACCCCTTGTTAATGACTGATCAAATCAGCCCAGTTCGAAATGGTCTTTAGGCCCAATAAGTATCAAGTGCTCAAAAGTCTTCCA